CCTCTCCCCGTGTTGTGATGGTACGAGTTCCACACCACATAACTGTACAAGGTGGTTTATTTCCTGTTGTAAGGGTCCTGGAAGAGGGATGGGGAAGGGGAGTAGGTAGGTGGGATAGAAATAATGGGGATGGAGTAGCCCTTCTGGATAATCTCTAAAACCCATTTGTCTGTCGTGATGGTATTCCAGACTGGGTAGTATGGTGACAGACGGTCTATGAATGGGCAGGGGACCATTTCTGGTTCTGGAATCAGAGACTGTGGAGTTCTCATGCCCTCGACCACACCTTCAAAATTACGGTCTGGAGGTTGATGGTTGAGACATCAAAGGTTGATCTTGGGTCTGTTGACATCGGTTTTGTGTGCAAATAATTTCTGACCTTCAAAGGGTAAGTCCTCAACCATGGCCTGGACCTTCCTTGGGAATCCGGAGAGATGGAGCTAGGATGCACGGCACATGACAATTGATGTGGCGATGGATCGTGCTGCCATGTCTGCAGAATCAAGGGAAGCCTGGAGGGCCGTGCTGGCGATGAGAGACCCTTCGGAAATGTTTGCTTTGTACTGTTTCTTTTCTGTCATGAGGCACATTTTCAATAAAGGTTAACATTTTGGAGAACAGATTGTGTGTATATTTAGCCAGCAGGGCTGCATAGTTAGCTATGTGGAACAGAAGCGTAGCTAAGGAATAGGCTTTCCCCATGAAAAGTTTTAGCCTTTTCTAATGGGGTCGTTCAGGACTGGTGTTGTTTCCCCCTTTGATTGACCACCTTCACCATTAGGGAGTTTGGTGCATGGTGTGTGAATAAAAATTCAGCTCCTTTTGCTGACACAATACTTTTTGTCAGATGTCTTACACGAAGGTGGTGAAGTAGCTGGAGTCTACCAGATGATTTTCGCAGGCTCCATAATAGCATCATTTATCAGCAGGGCTATCTTTGCTGATGGGGATGCCTGGAGTATGTCAGTGAGCTTATGTTGGGCTTCTGGTAGCTGTGCCAACAAAATGTCTAGGGATTCAGCAACCCTTTTGAAGAGGTCCTGAAAGGATCTGAAAGCATCCCCCCGTAGTAGGGGGTGATGGCATTATGGTTTTGTCTGGTGACGAAGATGAGATGTGAGTAGGTGGCGAAGTGTCCTGTTCGGCTGTGTGCTCAAGTTCCTCAGCATCTTCTTGTGTTTCAGAGGGTGCCGGACAGCAGGTGTTCTGGACCTAGGCAGGCTAGCTGGACTGCGGTTTTGGGCCCTAGACATTGCCCATGGATCCCAGTACGACCAGTTAGTTGGGAATGGTAGGAGGGTGGTGCCTGTGGGTGATCATATCGTCCTCGTATATCTGCAGGTGGTTGTTGACAAGATGGTCCTGGCTTTGGTGAGGAAAGATGAGTATATATTACTGCATCATCCTCTTCTTCCTTGTCACTGGAGACGGGGGGGTGGGGGCTGATCTGCAGGGAGTAGTCAGCTGGCTAGGTACCGATCTGAATGGGGTACCCTCGGTGCCGAGTAGAGGAGATTCAGGTGTTGAAGCAACTACCAGGTCCGGATGTCTCATGAACTGCTGCGGTACCGTGAGGCTTGGTTCCAGAGATGGCACTGCGGACAGCCTGGGAGCATGAGTTGAAGCAGCCGGTGTCGAGGACTTAGAGCTGTGCGGCATAGGTATAGCAGGTGGTGCCATTGTACTGCTCGGGGCTGAGATCTTCTTCAGCTCTGTGGGCACCGAACTGGAAGGTTTCTCTTTGCTATGTGAACCTCCATTAGAGTGTGCCCACACAGAGTCTTTAGCTCTTCGGGAACACTCGGTGCTGGTGCCACCCTGTCCGACGCTCTTGGTGCCGTCGGTACCGGGGCAGATTTTTCTGTTGGAAATCACTTTCGTTTAGGCAATTCTCGGTGTGGAGATGTCTGCAACTGCTTTTTGGTAGCCTTTCTAGGAGTAGGCTCCTTGGCAGCCGATGTTGAAGTGGAGCCCCTGTCATTGGCGACTGTTGGTCAGAGGGTGACCTGGACTCGGAGTCAGAGGCTGGTTTGAGGGATTTCTCCATCATGAGGAGCTTCAGTTGGAGATCCCTGGCTTTTCTTGCCCTAGCTGTCATTTTTTTGCAGTGTGGGCACTTTTGAGTAATGTGTGTCTTGCCAAGGCAGTGGACACATTGAGCCTGGCCAGTATGGATAGTCTGCAAGTTAGGCAGATTTAAAACCAGGTGAGCTGGGCATGCCTGAAGGAGCGGTCTCTTAGAGAAAAAATCAGGGGTAAAACCAGTTGAGGTAAAGGCTGTATGACTGCCGGAGAGGCAGGGGTAGATAGGGAAGATACAATTAAAAAAAAAAAAAAGGTTTTCTTTTAAGAAATTAAAGTAAGTCAATACATATGAAAACTAACTACAACTAAGGTAACCTATCGCTATAAACTAACTACTATAAATCTTATCTGAGCTAAGGGAGGGCGCTGCTGATTGTTCTGACTCAAGCCAACGGCGGTAGAGAAGGAACTGGGGGACGGTTGGTTGCGCACCACTATGTAACTGCTCAGAGCCGCGCAAGAAGGCTACGGTGCATGCGTGGCCCAACCAGGCACTGCTAACACAAATCTCCGATCATTCTTTTTACCCTTTTTTATTTTTTTTTAAAAAGACATTAAAAGTCTGAACTACTAACACCACCAAAGAGGGGAGGTCCCCCATGAAAAGGGTGGGAAGCAGGAAATAAAGGTTCTTTTCTTTCTTTTTTTTAAATTCCAATGGGGTAAACGGAAACTCTTAACTATTAAGGGAAATAAAGGAACTATGAACAACTACTAGTTATGGTACAGACGCAAAGAATGAAGAAACAACTGCTCACTCAATTTGAGGCCAAAGGTTGTCAAGAAGGAACTTTGGGTGGTTTGCCTGCACAGAGCTAGATAGCCTTGATGCAGCCTCTTGACGGAGAGGACATGTGTGGGCCGAATGGACACTGCTACCTAAAATTTCCGATTAGAGGCGTGGGGCGCAGATTCACCTATCGTGGAGCACCCAGAGGGACACTACTAGAAGAACCGAAAGTTCTGAGTCAGAATGCTTCTCCACATATTGTACGGGAGGTGACAACCCCTCTTCCTGAATAGTAAAAGTCATAAGCAGTCAGTGACGCAGCAGATCTAGGTACCAAAATGAGTCTGGAGGCTGCAAGGAAGGCTCATTTGGTAACATGAGGTCTTTACAGCATTGTAACTCCTGAGGTACCAGGCCACAACAGAGCTTGGTACAGCCACCGAGGTTGTTCCCGATGCCATTGTCAGAGGCGCTGGTGTCAGTACCAAGGGAACTGTGGATTCCAAGGAGGCTGCTCTCTTGGTAGCAGTAGTGGTCTTTGGCTCTGTGTCCTTTACCACTGAGGTATGGGACTTAGATGAAGACTTAGAGTGCTTCACAGTACCTGAGTATTCAGAGCCTCACTAGCACTCCTCTTGGGGCCTGAGGTCTCCGGTGACCTAAACCTCGTTGAGGAGGAACTCTCCGTTCTGCTCCTCTTATCCCACTCCGCAGTCTTTGAGTGGGAAGCTCTCTGTATTGCTGGAGCGATTATTGGTACCTCACTCGTGCAGAGTGCCAGAGACCGAGTCTCAACGTTGCCATCCTCTTGAAAGATCTTGGGGACCATGCTCTTGACGTAGACAGAGCACTAACAGAAATAGACGGTCCTTGGTACAGGGGGGTTCTCTGTACCCAGGTCTGAAGCCAGTCTTAAGGCTTGCTCCATCATTAAAAATCTATACTTAATTTCCCTGTTTTTAAAGAAGTGCAAATCTTGCACTTCCTGAGGATATGAGTGTCTCCCAAGCACCATATACACTGAATGTCTGTCACTGACAGGAACAGCCTCTCAACAGGAGATGCACCTTTTAAAACCTGGAGAGCCTGGCATCTCAGATAGAAGCAAAAAGCCTTCTGGACCCCTCACAATAGGGGAAAAAAGAAAAGTATGAGTGTGTGTGTGTATATTTATTTATTTATTTATTATGAAAAAGAAAAACAGGAACAACAGTTCCAACAACTATAAGGTTTTAATATTCTACAACTACTAAATAACTAATAGTATCTACTATTATAAAGAGAAAACAGGCACACACTAAACTCCATCTCTGGCTGAGAAGGAACCGAGGGCAGTTCACTCGCACAGTCCTATATAGCCTCAATATTGGGCACAAGTATTTATACTGTGCATGTGCAGGCCAAACAGGCACTGATACCAAAAACCTACAACCAGAGGTGCAGGGCACACACATACCTGAAGTAGGGCACCCACAAGGAAACTACTTGAAGAATTTGCAATTTACAGCCATCTAAATGTCATTTTTCAATAAATGCGCATGTACCAACATTGTTATATTTTTATAGTGATATTTATTTTTTCGATCCCCAGAAACGACAATATTAGCTATATTATGTAAAAATTATGAGCAAAGGATCATAGATTAGAAAAGACCAATTTTAAGGGAAGTTTTCAAATTGTTTGCTCTCACTTACTCATGTGTTGAAAGGGAGTAAGAAGTTCCCTGCATGTGCGACCTGCAAAAAGCCTCAGCAAAATAGCAACCCAGCTAACTAAGATGCTCTCTGTGAGTATGCAAGTTCTCCTAAAAGATCTCTATGTACACAAATTGGTCTTGCAGTATAAATGTCAGTATTCATGAGGGAGTTTGGGGTTTTGTCCTTTTATTTTTGTAAGAAACACTAGACAAAGTTATTTGATGGAAATATATTGTAGCTGCTCTACATAACTTTTAAATAAATATCTATAGTTGGCTGTAATGTTATACATTTATTTAAAATAGCACAATTTTGAGTTTAATTCAGGAGTAAAAATTTCATCAAATGCAAGTTATCACATAATATTCAATTACTGCATTTGGAGTTACAATGACTTGGTTTGAACTTAATATACTCATAATAATCAATCTCACAAAAGCAAAAGAAAACGACCCCATTTTAATGAATGTAAATTAACTGTACCTACCTGACTGGCATCTTTTACATGTATGTTATCAATCAGTTTGCATAGCAACCAAAAATATTCCTTACAACCAGATCGTAACACTGGTTCCTCTTCATAATCCTCTATCTGTGAAAAGAAATGCCTTTTTATTCACAAATATAACTGACAAAAAACTTGCTTAACTTAAACTCTGATAAAACAAGATGATAAATCTATTAACTGCTATAGGACTTACTATTTCTGACATAAATGAGAATGATGGAAAGCAGTTGCAATTCATATTTAACATAAAGCTGGAATGAATAGTTAAATTCTTACCCGGATAGGTTTCAATGCCTGAGCATCAGGAAGAAATTTTAATAATGTTGATGAGGCCAGTAGCAGAAAGGATCGATTAATTGAGTCTCCCCCATCCAAACCACAGAGAGATAATTTGTACAGACCATTACAGGACTCATGGCGAACTGCAGTCTTCAAGAAAATATTTCAAATAAAATCAAATTGTTAAAATAACACTGCATATGCGATTTCCTTTTTCACTTTTGCCTAATATATGTATATACATAACAGTTCTCCAAATACTATTAAACAACTTAGGCAGAGTATATTTCTATAGAAGTATCTTTTATAAAGTGCAGAGGCGTCCAAACTATCTAAAAACTACAAACTTATTGCTAAAACTACAAGAACTATTTACACTAAAATTGTCAGAAAAAAACACTAAGAGAAGGATTGCCAAACAATGAGGGGGTCCCAGCAACCATCACAGGCGGTAAAAAGGAACTGAAGGGGAGCAGGGTTGGCAGGGCCCTTTATAACAATGCTATGAGAATGCGACTCCACAGGGTGCTGGAGCCAACCCAACAGATACCACACAAAGGGAAAAAATTCCAGCAGCTGTGCTGGGGTGCGTACACACGTACTTTGGAACGGACATGTGCAAGAACTTGAAGAAGAGCAGGAGTTTATAATGGGAATTGATTAACTATACACCTTTAACTGTACATGTTGCAATTGGCACTTGCTATATTTTGACTAAAGAAAGAAAAGTTAAACAGTCTTTTTTAAGTAATGGCATTAGTAGGCAATACAATCCTCTGAATTCTGATGGAGTAACATCAGATGACACTAGGGCTGGATTTGGTCCTTATTAATTATTAACTAATATGCAATGATCTCTCCATTATCTTACCTCTGGAATAAGAAGGGTAAGTTTCTTTAGCCAATCTTGTAAATGATCACTATCTGCCAGGCTGGATTTCACCAAAGAACAGCAGTGGGCCCAACTCACCAAGAGCCACATTGAATAATGAGTAACTAAAGGGATAAGAGGTGGAATAAAGTCACCATGTAATTGCTACATTAAAAAGCTTTTTGGGTTGAAAAGTCACAAAGGACAAAAGCATATAACATATTTCTCTCACTTGTGATAATGAGTGACAAAGGACCCTCATTTTGGCATTTAGGATGCCACTAAAGCTGAAGTAATATATCCATTTGGTTACTAAATGTTGAGTCTCTTTCTTAATTACACTACACTAATGAGACACCACTCTGAGGCACAATTCCTTCCCTGCTTCCCCACTGCTCAAGAGGTGGGAGGTAATTTGCTGATACAGCACTAAATTATGGCACTCCCTGAACCAGCTCTGCTCTTCCTACTCCTCTCTTCCCACCAGCTAAGGGCCAATTTCTGGCAGGTGATACACACAGGGTGTCAGAATTCTGGCTCCAAAATCCACAGATACACCACTCTCGGGCCCTTGGTGACAGGATACAGAAGAGCACTCCAGAATAGGGCATAAGGCTAAGGGGAGATGCCTGTGTATTTGTGAACATATAAGCTGTAACTTGACAATGGCTCCTATACACAGAATTCTCACAGGAATAATCTCAGGGAGTTGAGGGGGGATTGCTGGCGGAGTCAAAGACTGCTGCCAGTCAAAATACAGGTGAATATTCATGTCACATTTACAGTCTTAATGTGAACCTATTTGGAAGGCAACAATTCCCCCAAGCAGCTTTCTCAAGCAGGACCCTTCTGTAAACTGAGCCTCGGGTTGAAGCTTTGTACATATCTAAAAGAATCTCCAGGGAAGATTCGTGGTGCAAATACTATCTGGCTTCCTCTGGGGATGGGAATCCCCACCTAGGGCACAGCAGGCTCCACTGACACACGGGAACACATCACTGCATTAGTTGGAATGAATCAAACCCATGGTCTGTAATAGTTGTATGATATTTTCGCTATCATCCATTAATAAAAATTAACTATTTTCTACAGCACTAACCTTCATGTCTTGATCTGTGATCAGACTGAGCTTTCAACACCCTGTGCAGGAAGAAAATCAAATCAATTAAATGTTACTACAGAACAAAATAAATATATTATACCTGGAAATGTAAGAACTGAAAATGTACTTTTCTCATATTCACTTAAAATATATTCTTCCTCTCATAAAGTATAATATTAAAAGTAATTTTACTCTCAAATGTGACTATAATGGCATTATAGGATTCCATGTTTATTGTCACTCAATAGCTTCCACATAAATTCATTTCAGTTTATAAATAAGACAGTTTTTCTAACTATTGAGCCTGAAAACTCGAGCTGGAATCAAAAAGTAAAGGTGCTTTCCTTTCTGGCGCTACCACATATCACCAACAACTGTAAGTTTGTTGATGCAACCTTATACAACAAATATAGAAGGTACATCTAAAATAGGCCAAAACACTAATTTTCAAAATGTAGTCCTCAGGTGGCATCATATATAAGTGTACACACACATCAACACCAAAAAGCGAATGGGGATAGGAAAAGCACACAAGCAGTCAAACCAATACCATTCAAGCAAATTTATTTTAATCTTTTCTCCTTCATACTGTCCTGTAATCAAGACCTGTAATTGCTGCAGAGAGGGTATGGAAGTGGCTTTGGGAGGTGAGATGGTTCATGAAAGGATCATACTGTGGTCCATCATGTGAAATAAGTTTGAGAACCACTTGACTAAATTAATGAGGAAGTATACAACCATAGTTTAGTTTTTTTTATACCTTTTATTCATTTTTGACCTTTGAAAAACCATAGATTTAAGTTTAAAGCTATCATGAAAATGCATACATTTTTTAAACCATACTACATAAATAAAAAGTTATTGTACCTAGGTGCCAAGTTGTCGTACGTATAAGCAACTGACATAAGTCGCTGAATCAAACTTGTTCCCTGGACAAGTACAAGGAATACCTTTAAAAATCAAAGTTAAAAGAAAAAAGTTAATATAATAATGGGGTTAGATTATACACATTATGTCAATTTTAAAACAAACCAAAAACTGTGTGGGTGAGAGTGACTATACAAGAGACATTCGTAGTTAAACAGTTTTGCACTGTAATTCTCACTTATAGCCAGGGAGGGTGCAAGGATGTTTCGCGCCCTAGGCAAAACTTCCACCTTGCGCAACCCCAGCCCCCGAGATCTGTGGCAGCTCTCCACCCTAAGGTGGCCCCTCCTGCAGCAGCTCCCCCCCCCGCCCTGAGCCCCCTCCCCACAGCAGCGCCCTTCCCCCCTCCCCCCCGCGGCAGATCCCCCCCGGCCCAGGGAGCCATGCGGCAGCTCCCCACCCCAGCTCATATCTGCTCCGCCTCCTCCCCGAGCACGCCGTCGCCGCTCCACTTCTCCTGCCTCCCAGGTTTGTGGCGCCAATCAGCTGTTTGGCGCCGCAAGCCTGGGAGGGAGAGAAGCAAAGCGGGGCGGCGTGCTCAGGGGAGGAGGCGGAGCAGAGGTGAGCTGGGGCGGGGAGTGGTTCCCCTGCGTGCCCCCCCGCTTACTTGCTGCAGGCGGCCCTCCCTGTGCCCCTGCCCCAACTCCCTCCGCCTAAATGCCGACAACCGGGGCAGCCGAAGGAGGACCCGAAATGCCGCCCCCGAAATGCTAGTGCCCTAGGCGACCGCTTAGGTCGCCTAATGGGTTGCACTGGCCCTGCTTATAGCAGGACCAAAATCCCTATATTTTACACTTTTTGACTTTTTTCAGACACCAAATTTGACAGTAAAACTTTTCAAGGAATATTTGAGTTTTCTGTGTAATTCTTGCATTAATTCTATATCTTTTGCAACAGAAACTTTTTAAAATTATTCTTCAAGTTGAGACTTGGTTTTCTGATATTTCCATGGGTTCCTCTAACTTAATAAATGTATGTTCCATTTAAGGCTATTTTCATTCATTACCTTAGTCTTGGACTATATAGTGGACTATATAGTGGGGATTAAAATAATCAAATTTAAAAGTTATTTTTAAAATTTGTCAAACTAATCCTAGGTTACAAAAATAACATACTATGATAGTGACTAGATAATCCATTATCTAATCTTGCATTAATAACAAATCTATGTTTCTAGCCATCATTGTTGTGAATAAAACCTTGAAAACATGAACAGAATGTAATTGTGGTTTCCTTCTCAGCTATGAGGGCTAGAAACCTTTCCCCCCCCCATTCCACCGAAAGAACATCTGGAGAGACTCTGCTGGAACAACCAAGTAACAGGTACATTAGATGACAAAAACACCTGTCGATAATTATGACAAAGATAAAACATTTATGACTAAGAGCATTAATAAATCAAATAATAAAACCTTAATAAATTTTAAAGTAGTCTATGCTATACAGATAGCTACAGTCTCAAATTCTATTTTGCCTGAGACTTAACTCTCCCAGAAGTGTGATGTGCTGGTCTTGCAAACAATATTTAACAATACCAAACAGGATATCTGGCTACAATTCATAATTCTAGTCTATCGTTCCCCAAGATGTGCAGACAGTAAACTCAGCACCTATATGGTAAGAATGGCTCACACGCTCAACAGCAATTTATCCTCAGTGAGTCTCTCTCTAGCCATTTGAGGCCCGAATGATATTGGCCAAGTTTCAGGTTTGCCTGTATGCACCCGGGGAGGTAATATGGAGGACAGCAGGGCCAGCTCCAGGCACCAGCTTCTCAAGCAGGTGCTTGGGGCGGCTGCTCCGGAGAGGGGCGGCACGTCCAGGTATTCGGCGGACGGTCCCTCACTCTGCTTGGGAGCGAAGGACCTCCCGCCGATTGCTGCCACAGATCGCGATCGCGGCTTTTTTCTTTTTTTGTTTTTTGTTTTGGCTGCTTGGGGCGGCCAAAACCCTGGAGCCGGCCCTGGAGGACAGATTTTGTTATGAACAGCCAAGAGTGATGAAAAGCATATGGAAGAAATTTACCTTTCTCACCAGAGTTTTACAACTACAGAATAAATATGTTTAGTATTATGAAGTCACTCTAGTATTAAATTATGGTTAAAATTATTGAGGTCTTACTTCCATTCTAAAACCCTATTTTCAGTTGCTTTTAACTTTCTGAAAAGAGATAACTTGAGGTAAAAAATTCTTGCTTGTTCTCAGTCCATTAGTCTTTTTTTAAATTGACTATAGAAGTCTATTTAACTCTTTTTGAGTTGCCGGATGTTTAAAAAAGGAAATACTGATTTTGACAGCTGAGAATTTTTTCTGACTCATTTTTACTCTTTGGATAATTAAACTCTTCTGTAAAATAAAGCTTAGTTTGGACATTGTCTTCACTTTATACAAAATCATTTTACATACTTGAAGAAATTTGAAGGAGTTGGTTCCTAAGTCATGTTAAAAAAATAAAATAAAAAAAACCCAATAGGACCTGAGATTTTGGAAAACTGAGATCCTATCCAAAAGGTGATCTGAAACTATTTTGAAAAATACTACAACTACTTAAAAGATTATGTGCTGAATCCCCCATACCAACAGTGAGAATGGAAATGTAAGTATATTTCTGATGTTTAGATTTTCAGAAAGCCTTTGGACAAGGTTCCTCCAAAGGCTCTTAAGCAAAGTAAGCTCTGCAGGGATGAGAGGGAAGATCCTCCCATGGATGAATAAATACTTAAAAGATCGGAAACAAATGTTGGAATAAATGGTCAGTTTTCAGAATGGAGAGAGGTAAATAGTGGTGTCCCCCAGAGGTCTGTACTGGGACCAGTGCTGTTCAACATATTCATAAATGATCTGGAAAAGGGGGTAAACAGTGAGGATACAAAACTACTCAAGATAGTTAAGTCCAAAGGAGACTGAGATGAGTTACAAAGGAATCTCACAGAACTGGGTTACTGGGAATCAAAATTGCAGATGAAATTCAATGTTGATAAATGAAAAGTAATGCACATTGGAAAACAGAATCCCAACTATACATATAAAATAATGGGGTCTAAATTAGCTGTTACCACTCAAGAAAAGAGATCTTGGGGTCATTGTGGACAGTTCTCTGAAAACATCCACTCAATGTGCAGCGGCAGTCAAAAAAGCCAACAGAATGTTGGGAATCATTAAGAAAGAGATAAATAATAACACAGAAAATATCATATTGCCTCTATATAAATCCATGGTATGCCCACAGCTTGAATACTGCATGCAGATGTGGTTGCCCCATCTCAAAAAAGATATATTGGAATTAGAAAAGGTACAGAAAGGGCAACAAAAATGATTAGGGGTATGGAACAGCTTCCATATGAGGAGAAATTAATAACACTGGGACTTTTCAGCTTGGAAAAGAGACGAGTAAGGGGGGGTGGGTATGATAGAGGTCTATAAAATCATGACTAGTGTCGAGAAAATAAATAAGGATGTGTTATTTACTCCTTCTCATAACACAAGAACTAGGGGTCACCACACTGAAATTAATAGGCAGCAGGTTTAAAACAAATAAAAGGAAGTATTCCTTCACACACTGCATAGTCAACCTGTGGAACTGTCCGCCAGAGGATGTTGTGAAGGCCAAGACTATAACAGGGTTCAAAAAGAACTACATAAATTAATGGAGGATAGGTCTATCAATGGCTATTAGCCAGGATCGGCAGCAATGGTGTCCCTAGCCTTTGTTCGCCAGAAGCTAGGAATGGGCGACAGGGCATGGATCACTTAACAATTACCTGGTCTGTTCATTCCCTCTGAAGCACATGGCATTGGACACTGTCAGAAGACAGGACGGTGGGCTAGATGGATCTTTGGTCTGTATGGCTGTTCTTTTGTTCTTATTTTTTGTTTTGTTGCATTTTTGGTTTTGTGAAAAGCAGTTCCTCTGCAACTGCTTTTTTTACTTGGTGTAATACCCACTGATGACAATCACCCCAGTAGTAGTTTCACAGCCCAGTAACAATCCACTGGTAGTGGACATGATTGTCACCAAACAATGCTAGAACCTGCTTGTGAGGTCACAGTAAGTCCTTGCCCTTCCAACAGTTCACCGTTTTTAACATTATTAATATTAATATGTTGTCCTCTTTAGCATGTAAAATATAATATGAAAACCAAGCTTAAAAAAATATGTTACTGTTGGGGGTGGAAGAATATAGGGACTTAACAGGTAGGTTCTACCACTGTTCAACAGTGGGTGTGATGGTGCCAGCACAATGCATGATGGGCCATCTTCAAAAGTAGGAATTGATGGAGGAAACAAGAGATAAAAACAACAAGGAGTCCGGTGGCACCTTAACATGCATCTGAAGAAGTAGGTTCTTTACCTCCGAAAGCTTATGCCCAAATATATCTGTTAGTCTTTAAGATGCTACCAGACTCCTCGTTGTTTTTGTGGATACAGACTAACGCGGCTACCCCTCTTATACTTGAAACAAAACATAAAAAGTAATCATCAGAAATATTCAGAAATACCCATTTACTGTGGCTCTTTGGGACATTCTGCACATAAACTTGGACTTCTAGCTTTTTAAAACTGCACATCTTTAATCTAATTTTATTTAATTATTTTATTTCCTGATATATCCCCTCTAGCGTTTAGATTAATTTTTTAATAATTGTTTTTCACTACACTATTTCCTCATATTATTAAAAAGTAATAATAGTTTACACTTCATATCCCCCTTTGACTGATAAAAGAAAACCTCTCCCCTACAGCATGTGGGTGTTTGTACGTATATATAATTTGTTTCTTACCTCTGTGAGACGAGGTATATGAAGGCCCTTTACATGATCTCCTGCAGTCTTCCTCGATTTGCCTGGCCAAGTTCTTTTCCTGTGACTCTCTGCTACACCAGACCAGGCAAAGACATCATGATAAGCTAAATCCAAATCTGAGGGATCTACTGCAAACTGGCATATCAACTTCAGCAAGCAAGCAAGACAGTCTAGCTGCCACTGTGGATAAGAAGAAAATGCAATTTTCCTTTTTCACAAATTCTAGTAATTCTTTGTCTATTTTGGAACTTGAAACACAAAACTTAAACGTCCTACAAAGCTAACAACTAAAGCACTAATTGGCAAGAGCTAACAAGACTTGTACTAGACATTACAGAGTCTGGGGCTGGTATTAAAATCTTTTATTTCTTACAAAGAGAGTATTTTCAAGAACTAGTCCAAATTATGGGTACAGTTACAAGATGCTATGATATTCTGTGTAGAAGATTCTGTATTTATGATCTACAGCATTTTCTGGCACTTACATTTAACTTGGAAAGCAATATTTAACATGGTTTGTTACTCTTTTAAATTAAACACAATTACTTAGATAGAGACAAACTACACCTCTACCCTGATATAACTCGACCCAATATTACATGAATTCGGATATAACACGGTAAAGCAGTGCTCCGGGGGGGGGAGGGCAGGGCTGCGCACTCCGGTGGATCAAAGCAAGTTCGATATAACGCGGTTTGACCTATAATGTGGTAAGATTTTTTGGCTCCCGAGGACAGCGTTATATTGAGGTAGACGTGTATATTAAAAATACCATTTTGTATTGTAATGTCACAAAGAGATGAAAACCCCTCATTCACTCAATAGTTTCTGATTTTTCTTTCCTCCTATTTCCTTCTGGGACATGATCTCCAAGGATCTCATATGTACTATTACTCGTGCATGTACATTTGCCCAGCACAACCAGCAGGAGTTGTATCATACAAGCAAAACTAACACAATGATAGGCCCAGATCATACAAACTGATATACTAGCATAGCTCTCTATACCCGTTCAGAATCCCATTGAAATCTCTAAGACTTTACCCAGATGCAGGAGTCTACACTAGAATATTTATTTGCAGGATCAGTGCCTTAGTTGCACTTTACTACTCCTCCTCTTGCAAACGTAAATGCAAGATCAACTAAGGCACTAATAGAATCTTCGGCTTATGCTGGGAATGGAGAGAAATATAGAGTATCTCCCTTCTCCTGACACTGCTCCAGAAAGAGCACCAACAGATGCCAAGCATCATGAGAGAGCTAGAGAAGTGTATATCACAAGTATTTATACAGATTCAAAAGAGAAAAAACTGAAAAAACAAAGCTCAAAAATATTATTCTCCTTCCATAAAAAAATAAAGATTTTTTTCTCAGTATGGGATACTTTAAATATCCTAAACTCTGAAACATACACAAACCATGACACTTTATATTTATTACATGACAAAATGCTGACATTGAAAACAAACAGCTAAAACAAACTCAGTCTAACAAACACAAACGAAAAGAAATCCACACTGCAAAGTAATATCCAACATAAGGAGAGTTTATCTCACATTAATTGATAGATGAATAGTGATAAGATACATAATTTCATAGAATCATAGGACTGGAAAGGACCTCGCACTCAAGCCAGGACTAAGCATTAGCTCATCTCTGACAGGTGTTTAAACCTATTCTTAAAAACCTCCAGTGATGGAGATTCCATAATCTCCCTAGACCAGGGATTGGCAACCTTTGGCACGCGGCCCACCAGGGTAAGCACCCTGGCGGACCGGGCCGGTTTGTTTACCTGCAGTGTCTGCAGGTTTGGCCGATCGTGGCTCCCACTGGCCACGGTTCACTGCTCCAGGCCAATGGGGGCTGTGGGAAATGGCGCAGGCTGAGGGATGTGCTGGCCGCAGCTTCCCGGAGCCCCCATTGGCCTGAAGCGGCGAACCACAGCCAGTGGGAGCCACAATCAGCCGAACCTGCGGAAGCGGCAGGTAAACAAACCGGCCCGGCCCGCCAGGGTGCTTACCCTGGCGGGCCACGTGCCAAAGGTTGCTGATCCCTGTCCTAGACAATTTATTCCAATGCTTAACTACCATGAAATTTGGGAAGTTTTTCCTAATGTCCAACTAAACCTCCCTTACTGCAATTTAAGGCCATTGCTTCCTGCCCTATCCTCAGAGGTTAACAAGAACAATTTTTCTCCCTCCTCCTTGTAACAACCTTTTATGTACTTGTAGACTGTTATGATGTCCATCCGCCCTGCCCCCCTTCAGTCTTCTCTTCTCCAGACTAAAGAAACCCAATTTTTTCAGTCTTCCCTCATGGGGCCTGTTTTCTAGGCCTTTATTCATTTTTGTTGCTCTTCTCTGGACTTTCTCTAATCTGTCCACATCTTTCCTGGAACTCGACACATTACTCCAGCTGAGGCCTTATCAGAATAAAGTAGAGGGGCAGAATTGCTTCTTGTGTCTTGTTTAAAACACTCCTGCTAAGACATCCCAGAATGATGTTTGCTTTTTTTTGCAACAGCGTTACACTGTTGATTCTTATTTACCTTATGATTAAGGCTAAGATTTTGTCATGACTATTTTTAGTAAAAGTCATGGACAGGTCAAGAGCAATAAACAAAACATGGCTATTCCCTGATACTCAAAATAGACAGTATCTACTGCTTCCTCTCTATCCACAAATCCATGCTGACTGTTACTTATCACCTTATTAACTTCTAGGGGTTTGCAAATTGATTGCTTAATTATTTGGTTCATTATCTTTTCCAGGTACTGAAGTTAAACTGACTGGTCTGTAATTCGCCAAGGTTGTACTTATACCTCTTTTTATAGATTGGCTTTATATTTGCCCTTTTCCAGTCCTCTGGAATCTTTCCCATCTTCCATGAGTTTTCAAAGATAATCACTAATGGCTCAGACATCTCCTCAGTCTGAGTATTCTAGGATGTATTTCATCAGGCTCTGGTGACATGAAGACATCTAACCTATCTAAGTAATTTTTAACTTGTTCTTTCCCTATTTTAGCCTCAGATCCTACCTCATTTTCTCTGGCATTCACTATGTTAGACATCCAATCGCTACTAAACTTTCTAGTGAAAACGGAAACAAAATGAAATGAATGAACAAAATATATGAAAACTAACACCAATGTGCACTGTTAGGGAATTTCTTTATTAATCCCTTGACTGTAGTGGTAGTGATTTCTCTCAATGCCAACAATGGGTTACGTACCAAGAAATAAACACACTACTGCTTTAAAGTCAGGTTAAGAAGTACAGGTTTCCCATTGAAACCACCCATCAACCTCCCTTTTAAATATATATTTGTTTTCCAATATTCTGACCATGTTATTGCAAACTTAAGCTCTGATCCCACAATCAGGTCTGTGCAGATGCAAAGCTCTGCATGCATGAATCCAGTACCTTACCCCAGAAAATAGTTTCCAATCTGGGGGTTAGGGTGTATTATTTTTTAGTTATACAAACCAGCACATTTTTTCTTAGGACTACAGAAAAAATAACAAATAAAATAACATACAGAAAAGATATAAAAGTGTGGTCACAAAATAGCAAAAAGTCAGAATGATAAAAGTAGTAATGTTTTTAAAAGGGAAATTAAAACTGCAATTATCCAACAATTTACATTTCCCCCCAAAAGAATACTATATTGTTAGTGTTTATTGGCATCAATTTAGCAGCTGGTTTGTATCCATTACAGATGGAAGCACTCAATAAACTAGTTTCAATGCACAACAATTGGCTTATGAGCAATACCTTTCATTGTTCATTTTATATTGTTCGTTTCTTCTCTTTTTCTACAGAAAAGGTGCAAGTAAATATAACAAAGGCTGCTAGCAATGGAAGCACTCAAATGGGATAGCTACCTTATAGCTGGTTAAAACACTGACTTGTCACCTACCACAGTCCATGGTTCCTGCTCTTTAGGCTCTAGAATTCCCGAATTAAAAATTTCTAACAATTGTTGAAGCCCTCCAGCAGCAACAAACTGTAAGTAAATTACGATAATGTAAGAAAAATCAGGTACATAATGTATTTTAAACTCCTTGTCTCAGTTACAAGATACACAATTAAAATCAGAAATAAAACATTGATAAACTATGCAGTTACTTATTTTTTGAAGAACATGAGAAAAATTTGTATAAAACTATAATGAACTGAGAGGCTGGACTTTTGGCAAAAAACACTGAAGTCAGACAATAATTTTGTTTTTCATTAATCATTTAGGCCCAGGAATTGGGATTTCCTGACAGTATCCTAATGCAAAAAGTATTATGTGCTAATAATATGAACTTGAAATCAAGAGACTCCAAGGAGTGAAACAAAATATTAAAAGCTTATACTATCTTAAAAGAAAAGAACTTTCATTTTATGTCATTTTGAAAAATCTACACTACATATTACAAAATACTTAAGTAAATCAAACCTTGCAGCTCCAGGTGTTTTTACTATTTTCTATTTGATCTTCACTCGAATCATCAGAGTCTGGATAAAGGTCACTATAACTTCCCTGAGGATAAACAGAAAAATAAATTATTATATCAATGCAAGAATTTAAAGTAATAAATATTTCACCCATAAGAATTTGGATTTAGAAACTACAAAAGAAGTTATATTACCGTAGACTCTCGCCTTATTCTTCTGTTAGGCTTGCCCAAAGCTTCAATGATTTCAAGTGCATACAAAAGTTTATGGGCACTTTTTATTCGCAGGAGATCCTTCCAACTAAATCCTTCATTACCCTTATAAAAAAGTTAAGAAAATTAAATCCAATGCTGACCTGACCATAGAGGCAAAAGTAATTACATTTTTGAAGAGACAATGGCAAGTAATTTGGTTTTTACATATTACATATCTTTAAATGAATATTTATTGTTACAACATCCATGAAAAAAATTAAAATGTATCTGATGTAATTTACAGACTCTCAATCTGAATAATATACGTACAGTAGGAATCCCAATTAACTCAATAGTATTAAAAGTTACCACAGAACATGCACAACAACAATTTTTAAAACATTTTAACTTCAGTGAGAAATGCCAACCTGCAATTCCAAATGGTAAAGTTCAACCTTTACTTAGTTAGGTGTGAGCAAAAAAGTACCTTAAGATGTACTTTGAAGGTAAAAAATATATTTTTTCATATTTTAATGACTACAAAATAAATGAACAGATTTTGTTCATTTTCCAAAAAAAGTCACCTCTGGACTGAAACTATGCATGCAAAATTTTAGCCTAAATGAAACATTATCCAGAAAGCTGTGAGCATGAGCAAAACAGATCCTAGTTCTAGCTTGCACAGTTACAAAATCTATCATATCTAAACCACAATTTAAGTTATATTTTTAAAATATTTTAAACATGTATACATTGGGATTATATGACAGCTTTCCCTCTCCCTGCCTTCACTAAATCTTGGGAGAGCCTCTGCAGTGCCATTTAAAAATTTGTAAAGGGCATGATGACTGCTGGTTAGCACAGCAGAGAATAGATAATCTATTCTTTCCTGCCCATCCTTCCCACCACATATTCAATGTGCTAGATTCCTAAATTTCAAAACATGATTGTTACATTAAAAGAGTATCAAAAATTCAAACAGGAAAGCAGAATCAGACCCCACTACTTAATCCAATCTAATCAAAGAATAAAATAATCTGTCAAACTCATTTTATCCAGGGAAAATCAAAAATTTTGACCCCTGCAGCCAGCTTCTCTCTTTGCCCTTAACATCTTGCTGACACAAAGAGTTACAAGAGGATTGCTGGCAAAGTAAGGAAATTCTTCCATTTAGCCAAATACATTTTTGCTGGCAAAAATCCCAGTAGTTTTGTCTCTTACAATTCTTTCGTGTAAATTCATTTTGTTCTTAGTGTTTTATTTTCCTCAGGCACATTCAATCACAATTAAAGAGAGATCTTCCACTACTCTTATCCACAACTTCCTCAGTCAGATACAATTAGGGGGAACCCTCACATACCTTAACTTTTTACTGCCCATTAATGGGTATTGAAATGATGACCCAACATTTTATTTTCATTAGCAATCATCTCTGAAGCCTCAGAAAACATATCACTATAGACACTAAACAGTGTACTTACATGTGGTTGGGTCATATTGGAAAGTTGCTTAAAATTCACACATTTGCTCTTTTTACATTAAAAATGCTCAGAAATACTTCAGAATTCAAGATACTTATTCAAGATAATTATCCCAATAACATTTACCAAAAAAAAAGTATAAATGAAATTGAACCACATATTACCCAACATCCTCCTGGTTATAGCAATATATAAAATTCTAAATTCTCTCCCATTATTATTTGGTAATAATTCAAAATTATTACCAAAATAATACACACTTCAATTAATTTAAGTTTTAAATTTAACCAAATCTAAGCACACCCAGAACAGTGGGTTGTTGCCAGGGCCGGCTCTAGGCACCAGCAAAACAAGCTGGTGCTTGGGGCGGGCACATTTTTAGGGGGGGGCAG